CTGCAACAAAACACACAAAATAACACACATCACACACAAAAACATCACACAACAACACACGTCACACAGCAATACACTACAACACACGTCACACACCAATACACAACAACACACGTCACACAGCAATACACTACAACACACGTCACACACCAATACACAACAACACACGTCACACAGCAATACACTACAACACACGTCACACACCAATACACAACAACACACGTCACACAGCAATACACTACAACACACGTCACACACCAATACACAACAACACACGTCATACACCAATACACAACAACACACGTCCCACACCAATACACAACAACACACGTCCCACACCAATACACAACAACACACGTCACACACCAATACACAACAACACACGTCCCACACCAATACACAACAACACACGTCCCACACCAATACACAACAACACACGTCATACACCATTACACAACAACACACGTCCCACACCAATACACAACAACACACGTCCCACACCAATACACAACAACACACGTCACACAGCAATACACAACAACACACGTCATACACCAATACACAACAACACACGTCCCACACCAATACACAACAACACACGTCATACACCGATACACAACAACACACGTCCCACACCAATACACAACAACACACGTCATACACCAATACACAACAACACACGTCACACAGCAATACACTACAACACACGTCACACACCAATACACAACAACACACGTCCCACACCAATACACAACAACACACGTCACACACCAATACACAACAACACACGTCACACACCAATACACAACAACACACGTCACACACCAATACACAACAACACACGTCCCACACCAATACACAACAACACACGTCATACACCAATACACAACAACACACGTCCCACACCAATACACAACAACATACGTCACACACCAATACACAACAACACACGTCATACACCAATACACAACAACACACGTCCCATACCAATACACAACAACACACGTCACACACCAATACACAACAACACACGTCACACACCAATACACAACAACACACGTCACACACAAATACACAACAACACACGTCACACACCAATACACAACAACACACGTCCCACACCAATACACAACAACACACGTCACACACCAATACACAACAACACACGTCACACACCAATACACAACAACACACGTCACACACCAATACACAACAACACACGTCACACACCAATACACAACAACACACGTCACACACCAATACACAACAACACACACACGTCACACACAAATACACAACAACACACGTCACACACCAATACACAACAACACACATCCCACACCAATACAACAACACACACACGTCATACACCAATACACAACAACACACGTCCCACACCAATACACAACAACACACGTCACACACCAATACACAACAACACACGTCACACACCAATACACAACAACACACGTCACACACCAATACACAACAACACACGTCATACACCAATACACAACAACACACGTCCCACACCAATACACAACAACACACGTCATACACCAATACACAACAACACACGTCCCACACCAATACACAACAACACACGTCACACACCAATACACAACAACACACGTCATACACCAATACACAACAACACACGTCACACACCAATACACAACAACACACACGTCCCACACCAATACACAACAACACACGTCATACACCAATACACAACAACACACGTCCCACACCAATACACAACAACACACGTCACACACCAATACACAACAACACACGTCACACACCAATACACAACAACACACGTCATACACCAATACACAACAACACACGTCACACACCAATACACAACAACACACGTCACACACCAATACACAACAACACACGTCATACACCAATACACAACAACACACGTCCCACACCAATACACAACAACACACGTCACACACCAATACACAACAACACACGTCATACACCAATACACAACAACACACGTCACACACCAATACACAACAACACACGTCCCACACCAATACACAACAACACACGTCATACACCAATACACAACAACACACGTCCCACACCAATACACAACAACACACGTCACACACCAATACACAACAACACACGTCACACACCAATACACAACAACACACGTCATACACCAATACACAACAACACACGTCACACACCAATACACAACAACACACGTCATACACCAATACACAACAACACACGTCATACACCATTACACAACAACACACGTCACACACCAATACACAACAACACACGTCACACACCAATACACAACAACACACCTCACACACAAATACACAACAACACACGTCACACACCAATACACAACAACACACGTCATACACCAATACACAACAACACACGTCCCACACCAATACACAACAACACACGTCACACACCAATACACAACAACACACGTCACACACCAATACACAACAACACATGTCACACACAAATACACAACAACACACGTCACACACCAATACACAACAACACACATCCCACACCAATACACAACAACACACGTCATACACCAATACACAACAACACACGTCCCACACCAATACACAACAACACACGTCACACACCAATACACAACAACACACGTCACACACCAATACACAACAACACACGTCACACACCAATACACAACAACATAACTTACAGCACACAGCAGCAGCAGCAGTAGCTCTGACCTTCCCTGCTTTCCCCTTCCCCTCTAATCTCTATGCACCAGACCCATGGATCTATAATAATAACTGGATAGGGTGTTACAGCTTGTAGCTGAATAACTCACGTGCTCAGGGGATTCTCGCGGTACTGCAGACTGAACCAGACTGAACCAGACTAAATTCACGTGGGCTACCCAGAAATTTTCCCCATAGAAGCTTTCATAAAGGTCAGATTTTGTGGGGATTTTAGTGTCCCTTGTCGTCCTGAACTTTTGTTCTTCTTAAATCCTTCGGTTTTGTTTAAATCCACACTTTAGTGCCACAAACTCTGCTCGTCTGGCTCTCGCTCTAAACCCTTGTTCACACGGCAGGATATTTAGGCCGATTTAGACCCGATTTACCCCTTACGACAATCTTAAGAAACGCTCCGATTTCCGTAACAAAATCTTACAGATTTTCCTGCCGTGTGTGGTGTGTTAAGACTGCACTCGTCGCTCGGAAGGACATCGGGACCGATCTCAAATCGGGGATATCCAACATGTTGGATTGTTTTGGCCCGATTTCTCTTCGTGTGTGGTGTCCCCCGAGGACAGACGTGCGCGTTGCCATGACTGCGGCGTGTAGCCAATCAGAAGACGAGACGAGGCGGTGAGGAAACGCCTCCATATCACGATGTAGCAAGTATAGTCCATGCTCGTGTTGTCTACACTTCTTTGACCATCGCCTTTTCTTTTGATTACGTCTTTTCTCCGATAAAAACAAACTATCGCCAATGCATCCTCTTCGTCCGCCATGTGTGTTTACTCTGAAGTCACGCTTGATCTCGCGAGACCTGAGATTTCCGTCTGATCTGTGAATACTCGGGGGGGGATCGGTTCGTGTGTGGTTTGCGTGATTTTTGCCGTGTGGCTGCGCACCACACACTGTACGACCAAAGTGGTTAGACCCGTGATTTTTTATCTCCCCGTGTGGGGTCTCACACAGAGAAAAATCGGCCGACAATTTTAAAATCGTCTCGTGTGAACCAGGCTTAACTCCCGCTCTGATGAACTGCTCTGATTGGTCAGAGCACGCCCAAGCCCCTCTGTGCACGTGCGTGAGACCCGGTGTGAGACCCACACACGCGTGTTTGGCGCAATGCATTATGGGAGATCATCCACTGCACAGAACCGGGAGGACCAGACGATGCCCAAATACAGGCGAGTTTCCCATAGATCTTTGCGAGTTTCAGGCGACTTCCGCTAATCTTTCAGCCCCCATGCCGTCACAAAGCGCCACTGAGCACAACCATTCATTTGAATAGGGCGCCATCTTGGATCGCCGGGGCTTGACTAGAACACAGAAGGACAGACTGTAGGAGGACTGAGTGGAGTTTGCATGTTCTCCCCGTGTCTGTGTAGGTTTCCTCCGGGTACTCCTGTTTCCCCTACCACTAAAAACATGTACCATAGGTCTGTGCCTCCTGTACTGGCCCCTCCCCTCTCTGTGTGGAGTCAGAGACTAATGCCCAAAAATAACAATTGTAAACTGCTTTGACCCTGGTCTGTGAAAGGCGCTATATAAATAAACATGACTTACTACTTACGCACTTATCACTCACAACTATGTGACTTACAACACAAGATCATTGACACAACAACACACATGACAAACAAAAACACAACATAACGCATGACACAGCAGCAGCAGCAGTAGCTCTGACCCCTCCCTGCTTTCCCCTTCCCCTCTAATCTCTATGCACCAGAACACAGCAGGAGACAGCAGGAGACAGGAGGAGACAGGAGGAGACAGGAGGAGACAGCAGGAGACAGCAGGAGACAGGAGGAGACAGCAGGAGACAGGAGGAGACAGCAGGAGACAGGAGGAGACAGCAGGAGACAGGAGGAGACAGCAGGAGACAGCAGGAGACAGGAGGAGACAGCAGGAGACAGGAGGAGACAGGAGGAGACAGGAGGAGACAGCAGGACACAGCAGGAGACAGCAGGAGACATGAGGAGACAGCAGGAGACAGCAGGAGACAGCAGGAGACAGCAGGAGACAGCAGGAGACAGGAGGAGACAGGAGGAGACAGCAGGAGACAGGAGGAGACAGGAGGAGACAGCAGGAGACAGGAGGAGACAGCAGGAGACAGGAGGAGACAGCAGGAGACAGCAGGAGACAGGAGGAGACAGGAGGAGACAGCAGGAGACAGCAGGAGACAGCAGGAGACAGGAGGAGACAGGAGGAGACAGCAGGAGACAGCAGGAGACAGGAGGAGACAGCAGGAGACAGGAG